TGCCCTGCCCACCTTCGAGCTGCTCTGGGTAAAGAAGGCCCAGCGAGGGTTCCCATTGGAAGCAAACAGGGCCCTCCAGCCCTTGAGCCTGCCACCCCTCCACCCTCCTGGACCTGAGACCCCTCCCCCACCGCTGCACCTTGGCTTGGGTGTGTTGCCATCTCAGCCAGGTCAATGGCTGGGACTTGGGAGGCTTGGCCACCGGCCTGGCTACTGGCTCCAGTGCAGGTGGGAACCCCGTCTGGGGCTCTCACTCACACCAGCCTGAGCCTCGCTGTGGGGCATCTAAAACCCCATCTTTGCTGGACTGAAACGGTCCCTCTGTAGTCACCGCAGCGAGCAGCCTCTTGGCTCTGCTCTTACATTCCTTGCTTCTGTCAGAGGCAGGGCTTTCCCGGGAGCTTGCTGAGTCAGACAGTCCCCGAGGGAACTCAGGGGGATGCTGGCCAGGAGGAGCCAGCAGCGGGGCCCTTTCTGATGGGCCCTGGGGTCCCCTGCTCTTCATTCTTGCCTCCCAGAGACATGGAGGGGCAGCGGTGGGGCCTGCCAGGACCAGAGTGAAAGAGCCCTAACCCTTCAGTGCCCCTGGATTCGGCTAAACCCACATGCCAGAGCCATCGGTGTCCCACCCATGGAGCCTTGGTGTTACGGTTCCCACACGTGTTGACAGCTCTCACGACTATTCCCAGGCCTTTCTCTCGCCACAGGATTGTTCTTGACTCGCTCCTGGGAGAGGTCAGAAGTGGAGGGAGGTGATGTCCTCAGGAACTTCCATCCACAAATGACACCTGGGAGTCAGAGGATAAATACCTTTCCTGGGATCCCCTCCCACGTTTCAGGGTCTGCTTCCAGACTTGCCCAACGTAAGCCCAGGTACTCTCGTTCATCCCTCTCGTTTCCAGGAACCTTAATTTTTCCAGTTTCCCAAGATTAACAAACCCATTGTCTGAGTGTGTGTTGTTTGCTTTGAGATGAGCTGGGTCCCTGGAAGGAAGGAAGCAGCCAAGACGATCCCTTTTAGATCGGGAGCCCCCTGGCAGTAGCAGATCCCTGAAAGACAGAGAGAGGACCTGCTGTTAGCAAACACACCTTCGTCACAGCTCGCAGCCTGAGCTCTCCACCAGTGTCCAATTACAGCAGCAAGAACTATGGCTCAGTTTTAAGCTGCTATTGGTTATTTCAGACACAGCACAGACAAAGAAAGAAGGGAAGCCAGCCCTCAGCGAGGGCTTGCAACTGGGAGTCCTCGCCGAGAGCCAAATTGGTGCTCCGTTCCCGACGGCACAGGGAACGGCGGATTTGTCATATTTTCCAGTGGAGTCCAGACAGGTTATGTTACGAGAATTAAGATAACTCCCCGGCCTGAAATCTATGGATTTTTTTCTAGGCAAACCTGTGTCTGGTTGAAGTAGGACCTTCATTTAAATGTAAATGTAGGTTTTCAATGTGCTCCTGGAGGGTGAAAAATACTGAAGCCCCCCACATCGAGGGCCTGGGGGAAGGGGGGGGAAGCAGAGGATAAGAGTTATAAAATGAAAAGGGGAGGATTGAGGGAGGCTGCAGGAGCCTACGGGAAGGAGTTCATGGACTGGCCGGAGCAGCATTGTTCAGTAGCACTCGTCCTGCAATGAAAACGTTCTCTGTGCTGTTCACAAGTGGCTACTGAGTACTTTGAATGTGTTCCTGAGGAACTGAATTGTTAATGCTATTGAATTTAAATTAATGTGAGTTTAAGTGGTCGTGTATGCTTAGAGGCCATATTCTACTGCAAAGGCCTGTGGATTGAGGAGGGCTTGAAATAGGCCTGCTGATTCTCCATGTAGTTGGAGGGGGTAGATCAGAGTTACTTGAGGGACTTTTTCAAGCAGCACACACACACACACACACACACACACACACACTCATTCTGATAAGCACCCCCGCCCACCATAGGAGAAAAGGCCCTGCCCAGTTTTTAGTGAGCCATCATTGCCTAAGACAGTGTGTGTCCCTCCGGGTGTTAGACCAGTAAAAAAGAGTTGAGAACTCCTGGCTTAAAGGGCCAGAAAAATGGAAGTTTTCCTACTCTTATCTGTCCCACATGGTCTGGGAAGAAATACTCTTATTTAGAGTTGATCTTGGTCAGGAGGATCGTTAATAATTGATTTCAGTTTTCTGTAAGACAGATGGAAAGTCATGTGTATTCATCCTGTCTATGTTGAAGGCCTACTGTGTGCTCGGCTCTGTGTTAGATGCAGGGCCTATCGTGCAATGAGTGGGGAGGTAGGGAGGCAAGCCATCTGGCTCTGGCCACACATTCATGAAGGTCCTCAAGTTGACATGTATGAATCTTATTTATAAATGGAGAAATTCTCTTGGGAATGGCATGGCTCTATTTTATTTTATTTATGTGAACATAATTTTGTAAATATAAACACTGAAATTATATCAAAATATTTGCAAAGGTCAACTGGACATTTCTTCCTACCTTGACCAGGTTCAGCTGACCTTGGCTGGGCTCACTCATGCAGCTGATTAGCTGGTGGGTTGGCTGGAGCTGACTGCTCTTCTTGGCTGTGCTCTCTTTTATGTCTGGGACCTGTGCTGGAAGAAATGGGTTTACTCTGCTCCATGTTGTCTCTCATCCTCCAGCCGGCTAACCTGGGCTTGTTCACATGGCAAAAGCCAGGGGCTCCAGAGAGCAAGCTGAAACATGCAAGGTCTCTTGAGGCCTACGCTTGAAACTCCCCTGAATTGCTCCTGCTACATTATATCAGTCCAAGAAAGTCATATGGCCAGTTCCAACTATATGAGTGGGGAAATAATTATGCCTCTGGATTGGAGGGGCAGCAAAGTCACATTGCAACATGGTGTGCCTACCAATAGGGAAATAATTGTGGATATTTTTTGCAAATCATCTGTATATGGGCTCAATGGAGATCATTCTGATCAGAGTATACAGTGCTCTAGAAGAGTAGTAATATTTGAAGTTTTAATAAGACATTTGCTTGTGCAGAAATGTTTAATTTAATTGGGAAGGAAACCAAGTACATGTGGCAAATAAACGCATTGCCACTGACTTTACCCTCATCAGGAAGCACACATGGAAGGTCTTCTTGACAGGGGAGAAGTTTTAAGCTAATCCAGCCTTGCATTTCTTCCTGTCTCCCTTGTGAGCATTGATATAAATTTAGATTTTTGCAAGACAGCTGACTATGGTTTAGATTTTCCTAGACAACTTCGGAATAGAAAGAAATTGATACATTTGGGGATTAAAGTGTCCCAAGGTCCTCTAGACATAGCTTCTATTTCCTCTTGTTTTAATGACTTCTTGGTGGCTCATCCTATCTATATGCCCTGTTTTCTTTTCATTTTTAGCTCATCAATGTGTTTTTGTGCATTGATAAGATATAGATAAATAAATTAGAGCAATATTAAGAAAGTTGAGCAGGTATGGTAGAGTGGCTGCAAAGTTGGAAAAAGGGGTTTATGCCTGAGTCTATAAGAAATAGGAAACCACATGTACTCAGTATTAGAAGTGACCAAACAGTCGATGTCTTTAACACTTCGGACACTGCAACCCTCTGTAACCTCCAGTTTCTTTACCCGTGGAAGGGCAATCCCTGGCTCGGTTGGGTCATAGGCACTGCCTCTTTAATTTCTTACAGAGAAAACATCTCTAAATTGTTGCATGATCGTTTGAATGAGGCCCCTGAAAGAAAGAAAAGGGAGCAGCCCTGCCTGATCTCTGGGTTTTGAATGACATCAACTCTACCCAAGTTACTGTGGAAAGAGCAGAATCATTTCCTCAGCACATTTTAAGGGAATTTGTTTAGACAGATCCAGGAAATACAATTTGATAACTCAGGGTTTATCTCACCCTCCACTGTCAAACTAGAATCTTTCCTAGAATGAGAAATGCAGTCAAGAACTGTGGTGTGAGTTAAAGTGTGTAGCTGCAGAGGAACAGTCATGGGCTTCATTTCTCTTTGGCTGTTGGGGAGCAGGTGCCCTGAGGCTGGAGAAAGAGGGCTCAGAGGTCAGAGGAACCTCTTCTCAGTCCCTCCCGCATCATATTTGGGATCTGAGCGTACACTAAGTGAGGGAGACCCTCTTTCTCTGACAGAAGCTCTAAAAGTATTTTGTTTTTATATCAGCTAGGATCTTGCTTTTAAGTGACACCCATGGGCCAGCCACCGGCAGCATCACCTGGGAGCTTGTTAGGCATGCAGATGTCGGCCCCCACCCTCCACCTGCTGAATCAAGATTCACCTTTGAACAAGATGCTCTGGTGATGAGCATTAAAGTCAGAGAAGCCCTGATCTGGAGAAATCTTTTTGTTTGATCATTAGAGACAGAGCCTAGTCTAGATGGGGTATGGCGTTGACTTGGGTTTGAGTCTCAGTGCTGCCCATCAGTAGCTCCATAACCTTAAATACCTCTCTTTGTCTCAGACACTGTGCCAGGCAGTGGGATGCCTTAGCGAGCAAAAAGCAGTCCTCCCCTTCGAGGAGCTTATAATCAGCAAGTAAATGGATCGCTGGAAGTCATCATGATGAGTTTCATGATAGGAGAAAATGTCCGATGTTATGCGAACAGAGGTAAAAGGTATGTATCCCAGTCTTAAGAGCAGAGATAGCTTCCCAGAAGTGATATTTAAGCTAAGGCCTGCTTGGTGAGCTGTAGCTATTCAGTTAAGGAGTGGGGTGGGGTGGCAAGGGGAAGTGCTGCCCATTCAGCAAAGTGATTGGAACAGGAGCCACATTGATAGAGTGTGTGCTCCATAAATATGAGTTGACATAAAGTAGAATGCCCCACCCCCACTTGTTGGCCTGAGAACACGGTTGTCTGATTCCCTACTGGGAAAACAACAGTTGTCAAAATATCCTTCTGTCCTCCAACTTGTGTCCTCTCCCCTGTTTAATGCATTCCTTTCGGCTCTTGAAAAGATAGTGGCACCCACAGTTTATCTGCTCTGAAACATATAGGTGCTTTGTGGTTATGAGGTGGTAACTTTTCCATCGTTTTTATTGGAAATGGTGACAAGAAGTCAGTGATTAGCTCTTATTGCTGCCCTGGGATTTCCTTCCTGATCGATGATGTGGCCACTTTTCCTGTCACTCTCAAATGTTGGTTGGCCTTTTTGCTGTGAGATTTATTGGAATAGGAGGGGTGAGGAGGGGCATGTCCGAGGCTACCTGAAATTTATCAACCTGGTTTCCCCGCAGAAAATGGGTCAGCTCTTATGATCAATGAGAGACTATTTTCCCCACAGCGCCTGCTGTGTACAGGTGGCTCCTAAATGTTGATATGGATCTTGGCAGGCTCACTGAGCCACCAGGGCATGCCCAGTGGAATGTTGGCTGATGGGTGACATTGAACTTCCACTTTGGAAAAACATTGATTGTAGAAAATTAAACCCCCTGTTCTGCAAATTTGTGTAAAATCACACAGAACTGGGCTGGTTGTCTTCATGATAGCTACGAAGGAAAAGCTAGCTAACAAAACACAGAGAATAAACAAAAATGCAGGTGGCATGTTCAGGCATCTTAGAGAATCATTTTCCAAGCCCTGTAGCAAAAGCCATACGTAAATCAAAAAAGAGTAAGACTATTTCTTTATTAAAGCAGTTGGCGTTTAACTTTGTTTTCTTAGATAGGGAAATTTTTTTTTCCATCTTAGATGTAGCAGAAGAAGAGAGAGTTATTTCAGGTGACACTGGCTGTGGACCCTGCAAGCTCAAATGTCCTCTTACCTCCTATTCTTCTTCCACGGCCAATGCTGACCTCTCAGGCACCTCTGCAGAGACCTGGCTTGCCTGGGAGGCCAGTTTAAAAGCCACCAATTTAACAGGTAAGACCTTGTATTTGGAGCTGTTCGTTAAGCAGCTAAGAGGTACTATTTAAATTAAACCCCCTGTTCTTAGAGAAACAAGATTGTTCCTGAACAAGACATTCTATAACCATGGCTTTTCTTTCACCAGAGACTTGTTCTCATCCAAATAGCCTTTGCAATTAGCCTGAACATATCATTTGGAGCTCTTCAAATAAAAGATCTATGGACGAAGGGTGGGCTGCAAGTGATCGCAAGTTCTCAGAAGAGCAATAAGGTGAAAGACAGAGATTACCTGGGTCTGTGTCCATGTCAGGAAAGAAGGCAAGAAGTAAGCAGTGGATATGGATTTAAGAGGTTTTAATGCTTATTCTCAGGAGCCAATGTGAATACATTTTCAAATGCACTCAGCTAACCAGGCATGTGGAGCCGTGTCACCAGGAATGGCAGCTGCCAGGATGCCTGTGCCATGCGCCTCCTGGAGATTGTTCCAACTACATGGTCCCAGGGCCAGAGACTGAAGTCCATCAAGAAAGTGCTTCTGGCACAGGAGCTGCAGATGATGCACAGCCATGCTTGGGTCAGCCGCCTCAAGCCAGAATACTCGGCAGCTTAGACCAAGGTCCCTGATCTAGTGGCTCTGATCCTAGCTTAAGGATCAGAAGACCACTGTGAGGGACAGCATGACTGGAATTCCAAGCATCTGTCTGAGGCCAAAGTCTGAAGACTCTCCAAAGACTGCTGACCCTTCCATCCTCATATCTCCATGTGGCCCCCATGTGGCCCTACTGATATATCTGGAAGATGAGTAGATCAAGTATGAAGCTTTCAAGATGCCTTTGCTGGATCTTGTTTATTTGTAACCTTACTCTGGAAATTTTCAATATGCACCAAAGTAAAGAGAATAGTGTACTGAAAGCTCATGTGTGCACTACTCAGGTAGCAACATTTATTAATATTTTGCTAATCTAGTTTTATCTATCTCTACTTTTTTGCAAAGGTACTCAAAAGCAAATCTCAGCTATTTTGTATGTATGTGAATATATATTATATATGAAATATATATACATACAGAGAAGGGCTTTTGTTTTTAACATATTTGTCATATGTTATCACCAAGATTATCTAATAATCGGTCTTTGTTTAAATTTCCCAGATTTTCCTAAAATTTTTTTTTATTTAGTAGTTGATTTGATAAAATCAGTATCCAAACTAGGTCCATACATTATATCTTTAAAAATAAATCTCATTTTTTAAAAAATCTATAATATTTCTCCTCTTCTATGTTTTCAACGTCATTTCTTTTTTTTTCTTTTTTTTTGAATGTCCATTAAGTTGTGTGTTTTTTAAATTTATCTTTATTGTTGAAAGTATTACAGATGTCCCATTTTTCCCCCTAATTGACCCCCTCCACCTCACTCCCACCCCCTCCCCAGGCCTTCACCCCATTATTGACTGTGTCCATGGGTTATGCATATATACATATAACTTCTTTGGCTAATTTCTTCCCACCTTCCATCCCCCTTTCTTCTTTCCTCTGAAATATGATCGTTTATTGCTTGTGTCAATGTCTCTGGATCTATTTAGTTCGTCAGATTCTTTTGTTCATTAGCTTCTTTTTAAAGAAGACCCTTCAACATTTCCTGTAGTGCTGGTCTGGTGGTGACAAACTCCTTTAGTTTTTTCTTATCTGTGAAGCTCTTTATCTGACCTTCAATTCTAAATGATAGCTTTGCTGGGTAGAGCAATCTTGGTTGTAGTTCCATGTTTTTCATCACTTTGAATATTTCTTGCCACTCCCTTCTGTCCTGCAAAGTTTCTGCTGAGAAATCAGCTGACAGTCATATGGGTGCTCCTTTGCTTTTCTCTTGCTGCTTTTAAGATTCTCTCTTTGTCTTTAACCTTTGGCATTTTAATTATGCTGTGTCTTGCTGTGGGCCTCTTTGAGTTCCTCTTGTTTGGGACCCTCTGTGCCCCCTGGACTTGTAAGTCTATTTCTTTCCTCAGGTAGGGGAAGTTTTCTGTAATTATTTTTTCAAATAGGTTTTCAATTTCTTGCTTTCTTTCTTCCCCTTCTGGCACCCCAATAATACAAATGTTGGGCCTCTTGAAGTTGTCCCAGAGGCTACTTATACTATCTTCATATTTCTGGATTCTTTTTTTTTTTTTTTCTCTTCTGGTTGGGTGTTTTTTGTTTCCTCATGTTCCAATTTGCTGATTTGATTCTCA